AGGTAAGGGAGGAACCACACACAGAAGCAGAAGCAAAAGAAACCAACAAGCTGGAAGCACTTGCTGAAGAAAGGCAAGAGCAGTAAATGTAACACCATTCAAAAAAAAAACAAAAAAACCCCAAACAAACAAACAAACAAACAAATAAAATAGGAAAGACAAAGAAGTGCAAGTGGGATTGGGCAAGGAGAAAGAAGTCCCAGGCCAGCACACTCTGCTCAACTGTGAGTGACAACTCCTTGGGGATATCACCTCCTGAGCCACCAGAACTATCTGGGGACTGTCCTAAAGAAATTACTATAAAGTTATTAAAGAAACTTCATTGTTCAGACTGAGGGTGAAAATCTGTGTTTCAGATGAGGGAATGAGGGAACAAAGCAGAAATATTTGAGGTTTTGAAATCTGATCTGCTGGGTTGGGTAAGAAACTGCTGTGGTGCCCAGCTCTCCTTCTTCAATATTTGGACAGCACAGCTCCACACAATTCAAAGAAGAGTTGTAGGGATAAATATTTTAAATTCAAAGTATGTTATTTAAAAAGCAGGAGCGTGCATTTCGGCAGGGCTCTGCAGTGCATGAGGAAATGCCATTGTGAAGGCCTGTAAAAATAACCTGGACCCTCACCATCTCTGTTGAAAATTATCTGAGGAGAGATCTGCCCCGACCAAATTCCAGCCCAGGTCGTTTATCCTGCTTGCCTAAGCTTTCCTCAAATACTGAGTTAATAATATGTGAAATACACAATCTTCTTCAAAAATTGTTGTTTTGCTCCAATTGTTCTTCCTGTGACRAGCAGGATGCTGCAAATGCAGCTGCTCTTGCTCTTCTTCTTGCTTTGCTGGTTGTGTTGTTAGCAAACTCATTAAAGAGTCTCAGCTCTCCCCAGGAACAGCACTACAGTTTATAAATGCTAAAATTAATAGACCTGGGCTAGACTTTATTACATGCAATGTATTTAGCTGGCAATGGTGATGCCTCCCTTACAGCAGCAGTTGGAATAAACTGCATTTTTAATGGCTCCTGGAAAACAAAAGACAGCACCTAAAAGATTTGAGATGAAGAAACACCAGGTTTGCTGGGTCTCAGTGCACCACACAAAATCCACTCCACTGAGGGCTACAAACACTAATGAGTAATTACAGCCAACAGAGAGATTTCTACTGGGGATCTTGTCCACTTTTCTTCAATCTGAATTTACTATCAGAAGATTCATAACCTCTCTTGTCAGCTTCACTTCTGCTAAGAATGGGCACATGGAGAATTTAAAGTGAAGTTAAAATGGATTTCAATATACCCTTCACAATAATAGTTGGTAAAACTAATTACAGTGAGAAAATTGGAGATCATTCATTACCCTACTAAGCAAATTAGGATTCGTTAACAGTGATTTATAGTGCCAAACAGARGATAACAAGGATTGTCTTTCCAACTCTATTCACAGGGGATGTGACAGTMTGAGGTGTGGTGCCACTGAGTAGGGCCTTTGTGGACCTCAGGGTAATTCAGATGGACACACACTTTTACATCAGCAAAATGCACTTATATGTTTAAATTTTAAAGTCAAGCATAAAAAATAACTGAGCAGTTTAACCCACTTGCAAGAACAGCAGCTCTTTATTTACCAACCCACTGTGCTCACGATGTGGATTAAAGTCCTGCATCCCTTCTGCAGCTTTAGCTGCTTGGATTTATTAAACCCTTGTCAAATTATATTTTTGATCCAATCTGTTTCTGCCCTCYGGAACCCAATGGGTCCCACTGTACTTTCCTGGGGTCTCTTCCCACCCTCTCACCAAGAAGAGTCATCAACATCACAAACCTGAGCACCTCCAGGAACAAAGCACAGCTCCTCAGGATCTCTGCCAGACCATATGGACCAGACAATGAGGTGAAATGAACTCTTTGAAGGGCTGTCAGAGAATGTGCTGGTGTAACAAATTCCTCTGTAAGATCATGTCTCAGGTGGAAATCACTCCCACTGCACAGAGAAATTGCTGTCCTTATCTAGGCCAAAGCCTGGTTTTCCATCATATCCACACCAAACACCACTGGTGCTCTGCTCATTCTCCCTGGGATTGGTTTCTGGAGCTCTGAGTAACACAATGCAACACCACACAGCGCTGTAACCCCGAAAACATCTGCTGAACCCAACCCAGCCCGGGCCAAACTGGAGAGCACAACTGATGAGCCAGAGCCCTTAGGAACGTGCTCACCATTTAGGTTTGTCTGAGTCACCAGCCCATGTGCAAAGCACAGTTTTAGCTTTTTTTTTTAGGTTATCAATGTTTTCTCCATCATGGGATTATTGCCAAATTCTACCCAGTTCTGTACAATTCACAACTTCTCTGTATTTGAGAAAAAAAAAATACCTCCAAAACCCTAAAACCTGCTAGCCAAAAATAAATGTTAAAAGGAGGAAGAGAAAACACTCAGAAACTGCCACAAAAACTCAAGAAGCAGACCCATGAAGGAAATGGAAATAAGTTGCCAAAAACRGAGAAACTGTGTGATTGCCAAAGAACCTGACAATTTTGGGAATCAGGGCTGTTGTTTAGAAGCAAAAAWCTCAGTAACTTAGGTTTTTATTTCYGCTCTGTTTTGTGTTGCAAACCAATCAACCACTCTCTACTTTAACATGAATTYGGCTGGGTTCAAGATACACAAATGAGCAAAAACCATTCTTCAAAGCCAGGTAAGAGAAAAAGCTTTACTTTTATACAAATTCCAACCATATTCTAAGACATCTCAACCTCCTGAAATCTTAGGACAGCTGGACAACATTAAAAACTCACATAATTCAAATAGCTTTCCTGTTAAAGTTAAAAAGATGGTGATTTTTTTCTAAAATTCTAACTACCTTCCAATTATCTGGATCTGACATCTTGATGAGATGTAATCTACCTCATAATCTGTCTTTGATGAGAGACAATGACAATTTGCAATGCAAAAAAAAAAAAAAAAAAAAAAAAAAAAAAAAAAAAAAAAAAAAAATCAAAGACAACTGGGAGGTTTTCCAGGAAGTACTGAGTTATGATTTCTTAGAGTGCACCAATATTAACAGCATGTCTGAATTTTTTTCGTCTTCACCAATCATAGATTGGACTGATCCCATTGGAAGCAACAAAGCTAGGCCAGCACAGAATGTTTACAAGAGAATTAGAATGATTTTTACCTCTTTTTTTTTTTAAGTTGATTTAATATCATGAAAAAAAGGATGGGAAAGTGTCTCCTCTGACAAGGAACACCAAGACTGGAGAAACACATTCCAAAGAAAGTGTCTTTGTACAGAATCTACAGAACATATTCACAGTTGTAAAAAGAGTAGAAGAGACTTTTTCCTACCTGAAAATCAATTTTGTAGGGGTATTTAGAGCTCCACAACAACTTTACACCATCACCACTCCTTCAGTGGCCACTCACACTGGTCCTGCTTTTCTGAAGGCACCTTGTCACAAAGTTTGTTTAATTAATGTCAGCTCTATCACCCCAGCTGGGTGTGATTTAGGCTGAACCACCTGATGGGTATTTCCAATCCTCTCCAGAGGCAAAGCAGGCTGCAGGAATGCCCTCCACACAGCACCTTCCCTTTCCCTATTGCTTCTCCAGGAGCGCTTGTGAGAGGCAGCAAGAGCAGCTTTGCACTCAGAAATTCTACTACTCAGGGTACAAAATCAGGTAAGATTTCAGCCTTCACCACTTTCACTGCTGAAAGTACACAATGAATTACTAGGATGGAGCTATCATAGGGGTATTAGAAGAACGATTTTGTTTTACTGGGAAGYGTCAGCTTTATAAATGTTTCCTTACTCAGTGATCTCAAGAGACTCCCTATAGAGTAACAGGATTTAAAAGTCATTTTAGCTTTGCTGCATCATGTACAGCACCCACAAACACTGCAGACACACAAGCCATCACCCCTGAGACCCAAGAGCCTGCCACAAGCMTGGTTCTCAAAGGGAACCCAAGCTGGACAATAGAATCTTTACAGGCAGGTAGCATGACCTTAACACACCAAGATTCCATTAATACTTGGATCTAAGCAGCAAATATGTGCTATTTAATCCATTCCTCAGTGTTCACTCATTTCTGAACAAAACCTGCTTCCCCCTGCAGTAGATGTCAATCAGTCCATTTCCACCTACCTGGTTCCTACGTGCCCTCTGGTGAGCTGCAGTCCATAATATTTCACAGTCATACATTCAGTCATTTCCAAGGSCCAGAGCTTTATTATTATCTGTTAAACTGGAAGTTATTTTTACTGTATTTGAGACCAATGACCCCCGTTTTGATGTTCCAGGCTAGCACCAAACACAAAAACTAACAGTCTTYTCTAGTTAAAAGCTTTGGAAAAAAGAAGTCAATTCAAGTGCATATTCTTTTGCACTTTGATAATACAGTAATTGCATTGATCAGAAACACATGCTAATTGGATCGTTCTGGAGCATTTTTCTCATTGTCTGGTACCGCAAAACACATCTGGGTTTTATTTGCYCCATGTAAGTTAATAAGGGTATGGACTTTTTTAAAACAACAAGCAAGATAATCCTAAAAACAATTTTCCAAAGTGAAAAGGGAGGAAAAAAAYCCTTCATGTTTCATCCAAGATTGTGCAAGTGTAAAAACAACTTTAAGATGGAAAGTGAAGAACATTTTCTACCTATTTGGCTATTAATAAAGAGAGAAAAAAAAATAAAGTTAAAGAAGCTTAATGCTGTGACTACAGATAAGGAAGAACTCAGTTAAACATATTAATGGCACCAACAAGGGATGTCTCCCCCACCTACACAGATCCAAACTGGAATGATTTAAGGTGCCAATACATTGGCCCTAGAAGATGTCAGGCTTCTTCTTGTTACTAAATCCCTCACTCAGGAGAGCTGGAAACGTTCAAGCTTTCCCTTGGAGCAGAGGGGATGTTGACACCTTCCAGATTTTCACTTTAGTGGACCAACCCACAGACAGTATGGTGCAGGGAACAGCAGATGGCTTCTCTTCTGTTACCTCTGCTGCCTAAAGACGAGGCTGAGCACCGCTCTCGAGTCGTGTGCGTTCAGCTCTCGCTGCGAGSGGAGAGAGGCTCATTTACACATCTCACAGCCCTGTGGCCCATCTCAGATCTGCCCCAGTGCCCAGCATGTCTGTAAGAGCTCACATGATTGGAATTTTCCCAGACAAAGGAAAGAAATTCATCCTGAGCTATGGAAAGACATTCAAGGTTCAGTTTTAATTCAAAATAAACATCGAGCCGTTTGATATCGKTTTTGCCTTCATCCCCGCCATGTCAAAAACACATATGACACAAACCAGGGCAAGTGCTGAGAAAAGGAAAGCAGCTTGTTTTTCTGCTTCACAACTTACCTTACTCTGATCTGGGCTTTGGTATAATTAGAACAACTACCACAGAACTTTTTCAACTGAGGATGCTCTTTTCATACCTCACCAGCAGCAGCACGAATGTTCTGTTTGTACAGAAGTYCAACATAAATCCAGCAGGACTCCAGCATTTCTCCAGGTGTTAAGCAATTTTTGTGCAATTTTTGTGAGACCACACGTAGACAATTTAATCCCATAAATTTCTTATAGGATCACAGACCTCTATGACAAAAGAGTAAATTCACCATGTACTAATAGAAGGAAATGACTCTCTGGGAATGTGACAAGAGCACAACTAAGTTTTTCCATCATGTAATTGAATGCCACAGAGCTTACTTTTCCCCAGAGTTTGATGAAAAGATAGGAGCAGGCTTTGATTATCCTGATAACCTCACAGAGCAATGCAATGGGATTGCTGCATTTTACCCACCTGCTTTTGGACACATATAATGCTCTGCTTCTCCTACAGTTATTATAAAGGCAGCAAAGATGGGCTTGGAGAATACAGAATGAGTCACAAATGAAACAGGATATTGAGCAATTTAAATACAAATCTTGGGAGAAAATAAGCAGTGCATTGGAAAACATTTTTTTAACTCCCAAACTTATCTGTGTTAAAGAGTAAATTGATGAACGTGGGAATAAACAGAATGGTATGAATGTAGACTGTTAAATCAATACAGGTGCATGCAAATAAATCACAAACCAAAAAAAAAAAAAAAACTGATCAATGTTCAAACCGGCTGGGGACTGATCTGCTTCTCAGGACATAAAGTGCTAATCTGGCACAAATATAACTTCTGTGTTTTCCAGGAGTGGCCGTGAGCCACGAGGCTTTTAAGCAACAGGTAGAAATCCCTGTGCYACATTCTCTGGGCTGTGGTACACAGGAGACGAGGGAAAACATCACAGTGGGCTTTTTAAAATCTGCAAATCAGCCAGAACTGCTGCAAAGGGAAATCGAGATCCCACCAGCTCATGTCAGAGAGCTGGTGAGACCATGACTCATTTTATTTGCTATAATTTTGTAATTATAATCTATATATTATTTAAAATTTTGTCAGTTAAATGCTGTCAAAACTTTTGCAGTAATTAACATGACACCTGATTAGTTCAAGAGAATAGTGACCACCACGTTGGAGATACAGCAACGGGATGGGATATAGCAATGGGATAGAACAATAAGATATAGTAATGAGATATAGCAATAAGATATAGTAATAAGATATAGAGTGCATTTGTGGAGGGAGAGATAAAAAGGGTGCAGGAAGTTTTGGGGGGACATTGCCGTGTCCCAAGGCACTCCTGCCCGAGGAACAGCGAGCAGCTCAGAGACGCGTGGAGAAGTGGAGGTGCACTTACAAAGTAGCCTGTTCCCAAGCTGGAAGGAGCTGAGCTCTGCAATAAAACACAAAGACAGAGTGGAAAGTCAGCGATGGTTTTTAACACGTTCCGAGCCGCGCAGCTCGTTACCGGCCCTTGGCGAGCCTTTCATCGCCGCATCACAGCGCCGGCGYCCTGCCCCTTGTCATCCGCTACTGAAACAAACACGCTGCCGCTTAATTTTTCCCTTTACATCTCTCAACGACTCGGAGACGGTAACGTGCTATTTACCGAATTCCGAGCTTCTGCGGTGGACGTAATTGGCAATTTATTTGACAGGCAGCTGGGTAATGAATTAATGATGGCATTTCGCCCTGCACTGAGACTAAACAGACACTCATCAACCAGCCTCCCTGACATGCTGACATTCAATGCCCTGGACTCCAGCTCCTCGGCTTCGTGGCCACAAAGGGGCAGGAGGGAGGGGGAGAAAAGGAAAAAAAAAAAAAAGTGGGCTGACTTCAAAACAAAAAGCCCGGTGGGTTTGGATGACTTTTTCAGTGTATGACCTGTTTGCCAATTTATTCCCGAAAGGGCCCGGTTAGTACACACATAGTGCTTTTCTAAAATGAGACATTTTGTAAACATAATTAGTAGTCTGAAATGTAAAGAACGCGTGGGCACAGAGAAGCCGCTTCAGTCACTGTACCATTTTCTGGAGAATGCAGTCGCTGCCATTTCCCATTTGGATGTCCACATTGTTTGACAAACCGAGGATTTAGAAACRACAACAACAACAAAAACTCCCAGACTGAAAAAGCAAATATCTACAGTGTGAAATAGATTTCAAAACTCAAACCTATAAAAGTAATTAAAACTAATATTACTACCATGGAAAATAATCAATTTGTGTAAATGCTTTTATGAAAAAAAACCATCATGAAATTCAGTTTAAGTGGGACACGATCACAACCTCTGTATTCACAGSAATTAAGGAGATAAAGGGTTTTGTTTCATTAGTTTTTCATCTCAGCAATGGGGATTACACAGCAGGTTCTCTCAGAGGCATGGGGGAGCCCGAAGCATCTCGGTGCTAATCCAGGTCAGGCTGTTCCATCACGGGATGGGCAATCCCAGGAAGAAAAGGCAGAGGAACCTTCTGTGTAGTCAGTGCGCAACTTCTCAAGCTCAATTTCCATTTCTGTTCCCCAGCACGGCCTCMCTTTTGGTGAAGACACAGCTCAGGGATACCCAGGAGCTGCAGAGGAGCTCTGGCCAGCCTGGGCACACCCTGAACTGGCATCAGCCCTGCCCCGGGACAGGCACTGGACAGCAAATCCACAGGGCAAGGGCAGCTCCACAATAACAACCACATCCCAAAGCCCTCCTGTCCCACTCCTGCTGCTCTGGGGCCTCGAGTTCCCCGTGCCACCACCACCCCAGCAGACCCAGCTGGTCCCAGTGATGGTGACCAGGCCAGTTCTGCCTTCCCTGCCGTGTCCATACTGCTGGAATGACCTGGTCACTGGCACAGCCCTGGCCATTGCCCAGTCCAGCTGCTGCTCCCATCTGGGCACAGCCCTCCGTGGGCACAGGCCCTACTGTGGTGATGCCAAAAAGATTTTTGCTTTATATATATTTTTCACATATTTGTAGCTCTCTAGATTTGATTATTATATTGTTATACAGCTCCTTAACTAACTCTGATACTTTTGATACCCTTTCAGATTTTCGAACAGTAAGCTAACCTTCCTGGAATCTTATTTAGTCTTGCCTCTGCAGTGAACCAAGAATGTTTTATTTTTTCCATATATCGTAGACAAAATAAATGTGGAGCTAGAAGCTGGGGGTGGGAGAGCTTCAGTGTTCACAGAACCAAAGGGGGGATTACTTAATTAACTGTTCCTTCMACTGGATGATTTCTGTAAAGTATGCTAATCTGTTAAATTTATAAAACTGTTGAAGTCCTGTATCATGTGTGCATTTTGCCATACTCGCACCTGGAGGGTGTAAATTAAAGGTAACCCCTTTTATCATCTTCATATTGTTTGGTTTGTGATTTTAGGCATCACTGGGAGCCCCTGTGGCCCTGCAGCCGTGGGTGCAGCACACCCTGCTCAGTACCCTGCACTCACCATCCTCCTCCTCGCTCATCCTGCTCTCTGCTTCWTGCCATTTAAACTACTCTGATTTAATCTGGATCTCTACCCAAAGTACAGCACGTGCAGTCATCAGAACCACTTTTGTTTCAGCTAAGTGCAGATGCCAAGTGAGTCCCACTCTTTCACTCACAGTTTTTAAAACTTACTTTACTGGCTGAGAGCTCCAAAGTTTGCATTCTGCATCTGTGTGTAATTTTTAGTCTGCTTTTTATTCCAAGTTTTGGAAGGATGGAGTATCAAAACAAAACAATAAAGAGGAAGAAAAGAAGAATAAGCAAACAAAATATTTCCCACTGAATATTTTCATTCCTTCAAAAGCGATGCTGCAATGGCCATGGGAGGACAGTCGAAATGCAGCAGTCAAATGACTTTCACCGGACAACTGCATTTTCAGGGAATTTGAGTTTGCTGGATGGAAGTATTGCCCTTCACACATTGCATGCTGCATATGGACAGTGCAGTTTGCAAACTGTGTTTAATTGGAGTATGAAAGGCCGCGTTGCACATGCATGGATGACTCTGTGTGCTGTGAGCTGTGCGTGGACAGAGCAGAGACAGCTTCTCACCTTTCGAGTATCTCCCAACAGCGGAAGGATCCCACCACCCCGTGCCCAGCCTCGGCACCAACTGCACCAGCAGCTTTACAAGCCCATGCTCAGTCGTGATCCTGCACTGGCTGGCTCTATAGCTCTTATATAAAGTGTGCCTATAATAGAGGTAACGGTTTCACTTTSCAAAACCCTTCGCAAATGAGGACATCAGAAATACCATTTGACATTCACACAACCACCAGCAGAAGCCTGCGTCAGGTGCCCATCAGCAAAACACACTTGCTTAAAACTGACTGAGTTCTGGTTTTGTTATTATTTCTTTTCCTTTTTTTCTTTCTTTTCTTTTTGGTGGTGTTTTTTTTTCTTTTTTCTTTTTTTCCCATCCTTTCTTAAAGAGAAGAACTTTGGCCCAGAAGCAAAAATGTAGTAACCCTCGTGTAAGCATTAGTTTATTGTGTACCAAAGAAAATTACATCCTTGAGGTCTTGGAAGGCACAGTTATACCCATTTTGCATATATATTGTGCATTACTCGGGGAGCTGGGTGGGGAGAAAGACTGTGTTGTACATATTTGTTCTGGCTATTGTTTATGCAGGTCTGACTGAATGAAGGAACAGTGGGTATCATTTCAATTTCTGATGTCAACATCAAATTACTTATTTAATTTCATGCCTGGCGAAGCATTGTATAGCTACACGCAGAATCATTTCACTTCATTTGTTATGCTGTGTTTTCCTGGCGATTGGCTTGCCTTCCAACTGACAGCTTTAATTACGACATGGATTTGATTGCGCTGCCGAGGAATTAACATAATGCAACAAAGCGTCGGAGCGCCCGACCTCGGGCACACAGGCACGGCCCCACCCTCGCAGCCACACAAAGCCCAGGACACGGTGGGGATCAGCCCCTGGCACAGCTCACACACGGCTCTGTCCTGCCATCCCACCCCACACACTGCCAGAGTTACGGGGACAGCCTCAGCAATGAGGATTTCACAGCACAGAGCCCAAGGATTGTCCCTCACTTTGGCTTTGGTTCTGTACAGGTGGGAGGATTGGGAAGCAAAAGAATTTAAAAAATCAGGTGTTTAGGGTGAAAGCATGAGCTGGTTTCTTTACCATGTGGCAATCCCACAGGATTGCACTGCTGGAGGGGCATGGACACATCTTGTGCTAAAGAAAATAGCAGCAGACCTGGCAGGCTGGGGACTTGAGCACTTGAGGACATCATCCTCATTGTGACCCCTTCGCTGTGACCCCCTGGCTGTGAGCACCTCACAGTAACCATCCCACTGTGACCCTCCCCTGTGCCCCCTCTCAGTGACCATCCCACTGTGACCCCCTCAATGTGACCCCCTCACAATGACCATCCCACTGTGACCCCCTCACAGTGACCATGCCATTGTGACCATCCCACTGTGACCATCCTACTGTGATCCCCTCACTGTGACCCTCTCCCTGTGACCCCCTCTCAGTGACCATCCCACTGTGACCCCCTCAATGTGACCCCCTCACTGTGACCCCCTCACAATGACCATCCCACTGTGACCATCCCACTGTGACCATCCCACAGTGACCCTCTCATTGTGACCCTCTCCCTGTGCCCCTCCTCAGCCCAGGAGGAGCACCCAGCTACAGAGCACCGGGAAAAGGGGAGCACTCATGGAGAGTGCAGCAGCTTTGATGAAAGCCCAAGGACACATCTTTGATGGAGGGACAAATGGGAAGATTCCTGTCCCACTCCCTGTTTGGGAACTGGAACAACATTCCAGAAAGGAGCCAACTGCAGCAGGAGTGGATGAGGTGCTGAATCCCACCCCRTGACCATGTGGGAGAGGCTTTTCCTGCTCATCCCTCACTGAAAGCCTGCAACCAGCACCAGAGGCAGCAGGCAGGGCTGAGATCAGGGAGAGCAGGAATTTAGGAATGTGCTCCAAAGAAATTTCTCAAAAAAAAAATCAGGCTTTTTGATCAACAAAGAGGAGGCTGAACCCCCAAATACTCAGTGCATTCACCATCCAGGTTTGCTGCAATTCTCATATTTTCCTCAAGTAAATCTCCTGGCTGTTTTGCAAAACATGGCCAAAGACTATTCCAAAGAGGGAGGACTCAATTAAAAATAAATTCATAYGGAAAGATCAGGAAAACAAGTTGACTGAGCTCCAAGCTGAGCAAAAGAGAAAGCRCTGCCATTTTGTCTCCGAGCAAGATCTCAACAAAATGAATTCTACTACTGGCAAGATTTTGATGAGATTAAACTGACTACAGCACCCTATCCATAAAGGAGGAGCAGCTCTCCAATTTCTCTTTTAGGCCCCTGGAGCTACCTCTGCCCATAAAGGAAAAAACAAGTTGTCATTCCTAAAAAAAAAAAAAAAAAAAAAAAACAAACCCATATAGGGGAGAAAGGCAGAGAGCCATGGGTTTATGAAATTCAGAGGGAGAGCTGGATCAGGGCACTGCCACACGCTTGCACTGGAGCACTGGAGCAGTCACTATCCCTAATTTAGCAGYGGTCAAACTCTCTGCTAATTACATTCTTTCCCAGAGGGGTGGGTGTGTGCACACGTGTGCCAGGCGAGGACAAAGAGAGGAACTGATGGAAATCAGTCCCACTGGCATTACATCTGACAAGAACTGAGGATATCCCCCTTCCCACTGCCCGATGCTATTTCAGGCATCATTACGAGGAAAGTCTCTGTTTAACATGGTCTTTTCATGAAATTATCTTCTCATTTTTGCCCACCTCTYGCAAATGCTGCAAACGACCTGCTTGGCTCTCGTTAGCCTGGGGAGGGGTCTCCCCTTGTGAACACACTTTGCATCACTCTGCATCATCCCCGGGCTGCAGGTACATTTACAACAGGCAGTGCTGAAAGATGCCTGGCAGGGGAGGGAATGGAGCCACTGMCATGTCAGTTTGCAGCGCGATATTCATTATCCCTCTGCCTCTCTCTGCATCTGTCACCAGCTCCCACTCAGGCCCTGMATTAAGGCCTGGGAAGTTCTGACAWCYCTGTTCCACCAGSCTGCTCAAACTGGGGGCAGGAAAATGGATCATCCACCTGAGAACATGCCCTTCATTCATTATCCACATTTCCATACAGGAGCCATGCTTGTCTCACAGTGTTGTCAGGCTTCAATAGTGGAGATTCATTATTTCATGGCCAAAATGTGCTCTCTGACCTCAGGGTTAATCTGCCTGCAATATTTTATATTTTTGTTTTATGTGCTGTTGGCTACACAACTTTTTGATTTTTTTTTCCTGAGAAAATAGTTGTAGAAACAGAAAACAACCCTTCAGAGAAAACTGGCTCTGTTGTCTGGAGCTGTTTCTAGACAGCAATTGGTGGGTATCATCRGACAACTGTCTTCTTCAAAAGATACTATTTAAAATAACCTTGTTAAGCTCTGGATGCACGTTTGGGTTCAAGACCAGGCTCCCCTGCATGTGAAAGTGGAAATATCACTGGCACTTTGGAAAGAGCCATCATTTCAGCCCATTCAGGCCCCATTTCAGGGGTGTCTGACTTTGGGAGAGGAAAAAATGGGATGGGCAGCTCTAAAGTGACTAGGAGAGGGAGAATTGGGATAGGCTGCTCTGAACTGGTTTTGGGAGAGGGAAAAATGGGATATACACTCTGAACTGACTCTGGGAGAGGGAAAAATGGGATGTACACTCTGAACTGTCTGGCATAGGGAGAATTGGGATGGACTGCTCTGAACTGACTTTGGGAGAGAAAGAAATGGGATGGGCACCTTTGAACTGACTGGGAAAAGGAGAAATGGGATTACACTCTGAAGTGACTTTGGGAGAGGAAGAAATGGGATGGGTAGCTCTGAACAAAAGGAGCCTGGGAAAGGCCTTCACAGACCCAGGCACAAKGAAAGCTGCCTTCTGCATGTTTTTCAAACCTCAGCTGAACTGGTAATGCCAGAGCAGGGGGACACGCTTGTATTTCAATGAATTATCAAAGCATAAAGGAACTTTCCTTATTRAGCAAAACATAAATTATGTATAACACTTTAAAATATACATCTCCACATATATTTACATAATGTTCCTTTTGAGCAACCTGTGAGTCCCTCTGTCCTCTCTTGGGTGCACTGGGGAAGTTGGATTTGCTCTCTGTTTCCGTTTAATTTGCCACAGAGCCGAGACAGGAGGATGGATGGAAATGCATCGTAAAAACATCAGAGAAAATCTGGATTTGATGGGTGGAAGGGGAACCAGAACCCTGCTCTCCCTGCCAGGTCTGGCCCTGCAATGCTGTGAGCTGCTGAGAAGCCAAATAAACCTCAGAGCTCTCCACTCGGTACATTGYAAGGGAATGACAAAGACAAATTAAAACCATGTTTGTAAGGAGCTGTGAAATTCTTTTGCTGGAAGGTGCTGTGTAATTGTGGAGTTGGTGGCAGTGACTTCCCAGCTGCCACAGGGCTCAGGGAAGCCAGGATGGTGACAGTGACAGGCTGCCATCACTGCTACCTGGACAGAGCATTTCCTTCCTGCCTCATCGGGTTCCTCTCCCTCTTCCAAAGAGACCTCCCAGCCCTGAGACTGACCTCAGCTGGCATCCTCTGAAGTGCTCAGCTGAATGCAACCCATAAAGGCTGGCTCTGGGGAAGAAATGGACCTCTAAAATAATGTGACAAAGGGATGTGGAGTGAGAGTGCTACAGATTTCACACTTTCACAGAAAAAAAATTTAAAAAAAAAAAATCTGGCATCTGTTCCAGTGATATGCACAATTCAGCAAAAATTGCTAGCTGTGTGCCTTCAGGCTCAAATTTGCACGACGAAATATATCCTTTACAAAGGTATTTCTTTTAATGCCTGCTCGGTTCAGTTTTATTGGATTGGCCTATAGAGGACACCATCTGGTATCTGTCATCCAAATCTGCGCAGACATGCTATCGATAAAATCCCCCTTTCCAAAATGTGGGTTAGTTAAAAGCAGGGCCAGATTGCTGGCTGCTACAAATTGGGCTGACTGWTGTAGCTATCCATGCTTTTACCAGCAAAGGCTCTGACCTACAAAATCCCCAATTTAGACACTCTTTTTGGGACAGGGCTTCCTTTATACTCTGTGTTGCAAAGCGTGTGGCCCAGAGGATGCAGAGCCATGAATAAAACACTCAAGGATTGTGATGGTACACATAATAAATAGCAATCTAATTGCAGCCACAGAAAGGTTTCTGTGGTGGCTGCTCTGCCAGAATAACTCGAGCGTGTCACCCGGTGAATGACCAGAATTCTCTCGTGGAGAAAAACACTCTCCACAGAGCTGCCAGCCCAGGCCYTTCCTTCCACAGCACTTCAGGCAGAGCAATAAAGGCTCTGATAAACAGAGCTTATGCTATTGTTGGCTGTGTTATATCAATTCATTATCTGTAAGTCAACTGAGTCTCTCTAGATGYTCAAACACTTCTCACACAGACAGGGTGCAGCCCAAAGAAATAAATTCTTTTCCTCCACCGCTTGGGGTAAAAAGAGGCCGTCTCACTTCTCAGCTATGCAGAACATTTTAACTTCATTAAGTGGCCTTCAACTGTTTCCAAAGAACTGAGTGTTTGCGCACAGAAAGACATTGTAYTGAACTTTAAGAAGTTTACTGAACCAGGGAGGCAGACCTAAGTTACCCCTTCCTCTCCCAAACCACCAAAGGGAAGGAGATYTTCGCAACAAACCATCCCAGAATCAAATCCTGCTCTGACTTCCACCCCTGAGGAGCCCACAGCAGGGTCAAGCAGAGCTGCTGAGCTGCAGGAGCTGCACTTACGTCRCTGAGCCGTTCGCGGGAGCTGCTCCGGTGGAAGCCCTTGGACTCGCCGCTCTCGCTGTCGCTGTCCCGGCAGCTGTTCTGGCCCGGCTTGAGCTGCACAGAGAGGGAACACAGAGAGAGCAGCAGTTTAGCCTGGTTCAGGTTGTTTCCTTGTCCCCTGCTCTGCTTTTATCCCTCCCCAGGCCCCCTGCAGCAACGTGGCTGTAATTGTGACACTACCATTGATGCCTTAGGATTTCAGCTTTTCCATTTCCATGCCTCTGTACCCTTGTAATTCTTCAACGGTTAACTCCAGACTCCACAGACAGTGCTGCTCTCCCATTTTTACACAAAAACAATTCCTCTGCAGCCCCAAACTCAACGACACCTCCCTGTGCCAGGCCCCAAGAGATGGAAACAACAGAGAATTGGGGGGAGCCAAGTTGGAGTTTTTGACTGCATTGGCTGCAGCTGCAATTGGAGGATTCAGCCCCGATGTGCAAATGGACAAAAGCGAGAAAGGGTGAAAAACCCGTGAGCCATTGTCCATTGTGGGTGCAGCCCCTGGGTGGGCTGGGACTGCCCTGAATGGCCCTGAAGGCCCAGCAATAAATAGAACTGCTTTGGATTCTCTGAATTTTGTCCATCCTCTGTTTTAGGGAAGCCTGTTAAGGCATCACCACCAGCACCGTGTCCTTGTGCCAGGGCAGAGTCTCGGTGACACCACAAACACAGGGTCTGACACACCAGAGCCTTGGTGGGAGCTCCAGATGCTGCAGGCAGGAGGAGGCAACGCTCATGTCCCAAGGAAATCCCAATTTGGGACCTTCATGGGAGAAACTTTTAGACGTCTCAAGGTATTTCTGCCATGGATGAAGATTTTTAAGCTTCCATCATAGGGCAGCACTCACAGCATCAGCTCCACCCTCATTCCAGTGTAAGAGCCTGAGGATCTGAGATCAATGGGAATGTCCACAGGGGAAGGACAGGTCATCACTCCAGAGAAGCCTTTCCATTGATGGTCTGGCCCCTAATAACACTGCCTGGCACTATAAACTATTCTCAACTAACCAAACCCCAAAGTTCATAAAACAACAGGATCTACTTAATAGCCATTGAATTGCTTTTGTCTTTCAAACCAGCTTTAATGAGCTTTACTGACACTGTAATAAATAAAAAGTATAAACCCCCCCTACAAACTGTATTTTCATTACAATTGAGAACACATCTGCTTTCTCTTATGCTGCGCACTGTTCAGGTCACCACATCCCACAGCAGGGCACTGAGAAAAACATTTACCACAGACACCCATTACATATGTTCACAAGCACATACACACCTAGACAGCAAGAGGAAGCGCAACATCAACTGCAATGCTGAAAATGCATATTTTTGTTTTAAGTATCCTCTCTTCCCTATATTTTGCTTGAATTTGTTAAAATTTTCTTTTAGCCTTGCTGATGCTTTGTTTGAACTCCTGTAAATGCTGGTTACTCTGGAGGTTAACACTAGCAAGAGCTTCTCTTCAGAAATTAGATTTMAAACCACACATGTAAATACTGGGAACAGAGGTAAATGCAGAGAAAATACTTGGTGAGGTACCTAATGAAATATTTYATGAGGGACCTACTGCACTTATCAATATTCATATGACAAACACCAAACACCTCCTCCCAACTTATTCTAATTGTCATTATGATGATGTTAAGTTCCATTCAGACTGTGCTGCAGATGGTGTTCATACATTTCCATGCCATGACTGGAGACCAAAAGTTCCAACATCCTCCAACACTTTTTTCCCTCCCTTTTTCTTCTCTTTCGCCTCATTTATTTCCAGTTCTCCCAGAAACAAGCACACAAAAATTCACACCAATGCTCTTGTACAGGAGCACACAAACAAACCCTGCACCTCTGTTTTTTTCCCACCTGCACACTCTGTTCACCCACAGCCACGGCTGCTCCCTGCCAGGGTCACTGCAGGAGCACACAAAGCATCCTCACCCTCAGCTTATCATCACTTGCTCCCTGCCAGAGCAAGCTGCATCTGTAAGTTTGGTGTTTGTGTGCTGTTTGCCCTTTATCCCTCACTCCCCTCACCAGCAAAAGGAAGCTTTGGGTGCTCTCAATCTAATAAAAAAAAAAAAAAAAAAAAGAATCCCCGAACCTCTTTATTGAACAATTTGTTCACAAGTGTCTCTTCCACTCTGGCCAAGCAGGTGGCAAGTACAAATGTTAGGAATGCAGTGGAATTTTTTTGTGCAATATTTTGTTTAGGGATTCTTCATTCAACATGTATTTTCTGTAAAGTGGTCATCTAATATTTAATCTTTCAGCTTCCATAATCTGTTCAAGGACATAAGGTGAGCAAGTCATTTGATACTGTAAAAATAACAAGTGTTCTTGAAGCTCTGT